ACAATTAAATTAATTAAAAAGTTAATAAAGTTGAACACTAAAAAGAAGTCGGAAATTGCATATTTATCTACATTATATTCTTTATCTTTCTCTCTCTCTCTCTCTCTCTCTCTGAAGGCCCGGCGATCTGAAGAAATAATTTATTAGAAGAAATAATTTATTAGATGTAAATTGGGAGCAGTAATTTATATACCGAAGACTTATCTATTATTAATCTTTTAAATCCTGAACGAATGGAACCCAAAAAAATCCGTTTGGATGAAAATGCGTCCTACAGTGAATTCGGATGATTCTGTAAATACAAATCGATCTCCATACGTCGCCTGGTACAACGATCATTCATCACGACGTCCTAAAGAACAAATATCTGCTTCCAAAAATGCACAAACGGAATATGAAACGCATTTATCGCAAAATGCTGCATATTCCTCAACGTATGGATCTGGTAGTAAGCAACGTATATATTCAACTCTTTGAATCAGTCTGAAAAATAACTTCATTTCCTCGGCATATTCCTACTTCATTTTCGTTTTCAATTCTCCATGCTGCGAGTATCGTTTCTCTTATTGTTATAAAAATCCGAAATACATCAAAATTTAATACATCAAAAACAATACAGTAATATATGTGTCGGGACATATATGAAAACGAATGAATGATTTAATTTAATTAAACAATTAAATACTCTCAAGGAACTCTCGGGATATAATTGTCATTCTGTTTATATTAATTCTCCGGAGCTGACGGTGAACTTATTAGATCTACTCAAATTATATTTTATAGCATGTTTTTATATTATATCTGCAAATTTGAAATATTTTTACGTGTGAGACTTTTACTTACATTTTTACAGTAAGAAAAAACTTTTGAGTGAAAAAGAATAATATTTTCAAAATCAGTAATTTCAGACGTCTGTTTGGTTCCTTTTGATTCTCTTCTATAAATTTTATGGAGTAATAATTGATTCTCTTCTATAAATTTCGTGGAGTAATAATTGATTTTTCTTTCAATAAAATTCATATTTTCAAGAAACGAAATTATCTCAAATTATTAAAAATAGATTTAGGTACCAAAGGTCCACTTTAATTAAATATAATTCTTTTCGTTTATTTAAACAAACTTATTGTTAGCATTCTTTTTTATATAAGTTAAATTATTTTGGGTTCTCGAAATTAATTAGTGCAGCCTTTGAACCAACATAAATTAAATGGGTCTCACAGATTTCGCGTAACTGTGTTACAGATTTTTATCATCAGCAGGATGATTGGAGGATTAATATCTCTTATATGTACATAATTATCGCATTTTGCGACCCTTATCGGATCAAGATATTAATCTTTAAATTTAATTCGTAGCTACGCCACCAGATCAGCACACCGCGAATCGTGAATGGCGTGTCGACAATCCAAAGGAAGATCAGCGAAACATAAAGAGAAATTCCGAGGAAACAGAGCAAACGCATAAGAGTGTTGATACACGCGATATCAATTTGCCACGCAGACATCGGTCGAAATCCTGCGTTAAACTGCGTTTATGGTGTCTGAGATTGTGTCGCGCGAAGAAAAGATGTTCCCAACACGTTTTGAGAAAGCCGAGACAGTTTCTCGAACGAATAAAGACACGAAGTAAGGAGAAGTGCGAGAAGCCCGACGACGTGGTGGCGGTCGCCGGTGTATCAACTATGCCGCATCGAGAATCGATAAGGTATCGAGACGTCCCGAAGAAGTCTAGGAGAACTCGTAAACAAGACGAGATGGTGGAGATTGCAGATAAGGACGTCTCTGAGGACATCGTCAAAAAGGAAAGAAAGGAGAGGAAAAAAAGGGAGAAAGAAGAGAGGAGAAAGAAAGTAATGACAGACGAGGAGAAGAGAAGGAAAGTAATAACGGAGGAGGAGAGGAAAGTGAGCCATAAACTCGATGAGCATGTCCCGCAGCCCGTGGACACACGTCTGGTGACGCACGACGATGACCTCGTCGTCGAGGAACGGGTACCCATGAAACCGCCATCGATCGTGGACGACTTCGCGAAGAGCTGCTGCTACTTGTGCGCCCAGAACACGCTGGCGATCGCGGCCGCCGCTGCGATCTCCAAGCCGGAGCAGTCCGACAAGTGCGTCCAAGTTTCAGCTCATAAATTTCACGTAGAGACGTCCCCGGCGCTCGATAAGAGCTGCAGCCCGTTGCTACTGGTGCGCACCGTGCAGTCGTCCGTCAAAGTGAGGACATGGGAGACCAGCACACTCTGCGCCGGCACGAGCGCGGTGCCGCGTGCGAAAAAGCACAAGAAGTTTGCCATGTTTCCGGGGTTGACGCGAACGAAGTGCCCGGCGGGACGGCACGCCGCCTGCGAGACTGATAAGTCGACCGCCAGGCGCGACGATAATGCGGAAAAACGCCAGCCAAGGAACGAGAGGTGCTGCGGGAAGAAGAACGCCTGACACGCCGCGAATTTTGCCGTTTCGCCGAACTTACCCGGACTAATTAACGTTTGATTACTCGGCGGAAAGAATAATTATATGCATCGTGAACTCATTAACGCTAGAAGTGCCAACGTTTCTTACTTGAGACTCGGTTTTTCATTTTCTGAGTAACTCGTGATTAAACTTATGCCCATTTTCACCAATATAGATTAACTTTAATCTCGGTTCAACTTAATCTTCATCTTTCTCTCTCTAGTTCTAAAGATTAGAAAAAGATGAAGAATAAGTTGAACCGAGGTTAAAGTTAATCTACATTAATGGAAACTAGCAATTTTGTCAAAACAAAAGTGAAAAAGAAGAGTATATGTACTGTCTCTTTTTACATATGCTATCTCATTCTAACTTATTATACTATCTCACTCGCTGAAGTTGACACAAATGGACCAATTAAAAATTTGTCATCTCGTAGCCAGACTTTTTTGAAGGGTCTCCAAAGTTTTCTAATTCTTGAAATTAGAAAAATATGACTTAGTTGAATCAAAATTAAAATTAAACTGCATTGGCAGAAACAGACATAAACAAATTAAAGTCACATACACGATTAAAAAGCATTGGCAATAGGAAGTATAGGAACAGGGAACAACAGATTTCTGATCCATGTATCAGAAACCATGTATATGGGAGTACATAGTTTCTAATAGATTGAAATCTGTTATTCCCTGTTCCTATTGTCTATGTTTTTCAATTGTATCTCAAGCTTAAATCTCAAATTAACTAAAAAATGAAAAATCTTAAAGGATCATAGATTATCATAAAAATGAAGAAAGTGATGAGAGACCAAATATTTCATTAGTATAAAGGACTAATTATTGAAAAGTCAAAAAATTTTAAAATTCTTTTACACAAAAAAAATATAATATTAATCTAAAAGGTTAAAAATGTCAATAATAACCGTTTAGTACTTCTAGTGTTAACTTTCCATTGTACCACTTCATCTTTATGCTTAAACTCATCAATTACATCAGACCTTGTAATTATTCCTGTATTTTTTCCATCAGATTCTATTCCTTCGCGCTTGTGCAAGATTTAAGTAAAAGTAACTCGTCGTGTATTACTTCGTCAAAGAGAAAAAATGCTTTCGATAGAATATAATTTATTGACGCGGCGAAACTACTTATTCATAAGCGTTTTCCTCTCGATACTATTTTACGTTTTTTTTCTTGTGCGTTTGATAATTCACGATATGACTCTTTCATTTTTAAGCTACATTGCTGCAGTTCTCCAATAAACTTTACATAGAGATGCGCGACCCTAACTCGAATGTATATTTGAATTGCACGGTGCATACGAATCACTTCGATAACACATGTAATGCTCTGTGGCTTGGCCCGTATCTGCTCGTCGATAAATTATACCCTGCCGTGTAAGCTTTGTTCCATTTGCGCGCGTGTAAGCGGAAAACGCTAAATTATGTATAATAGTTCGAATCAGAATCTTACGTACACATAATTATTTCATTGAGCACAAAGTTTCCTTATCCTCTTTGCATCCTTCGTGACTCTTCGCCATGTAATTTGACAGACGGTAAGAAATTTCCTAGCTTTTTATCTCGCTCTTTATTAAAGACGATGAGGTACATTTTTTCTGTCTCTCCCCCCTCCCCTTGCGCATCTTAAATCCTTCAATTAAACCGCTTCTTTGTGCCTTGTTTCATAAGTTCTTCGAGGATGAGAATAGCTTTTCTTACTGAACGGTCGCTTGGAAGAGAAAAAAAACCGTGAGACGTTGGGCACTTCGTCTGTATCAACGTCATCTCCATAGCATTTCTATATTACTTTCATGTATTCCCTACATAGTATTTTCATACAGCCGTTTGTGTCGCTTCCATGTTACTTGCACATGACTGCTGCTTGGATGGAATCTCATCTCGCCGGAAACGTGTAAAGTCGTAAGTAAATTCGAAGTAAAGTAAATTCGGAGCAAATAAATTCGTCTAACTCTTTCACACATTTTTCCGTATGCGTTACATAAATCCGCAATCGTCACGTTTTATATAAAACGAAATCGATTTAATAAATAACATATCGTACGTAATTTGAAGTTACTGTCTATCTCCTACGTCATCAGAACGCAATCTCGTTCTGTTACTGAAAAAACGTTATGAGTAAATCCAGTCATCTATTTTTCATATCCCCGTAGGTGTTACATAAATCTACAATTATCACTTTATATACAACGAAAGTAATCGATCTAGAGAGTAACTGATAATTTGAATAAATCGCCTATGCAATTATTATTCAAATATAATCTTGCTTCGCTACTGCAGAAAGTCACGAATGAATTCAGAGCATGTCTTAACCCGAAATTTTTGCACACTTATAACGTAAATATACAATCATCATTTATATATAACAAAGTTTCAATAATGTCGAGGAATCTCAAAGAAAGAAGTCACTTTGCAGTTCGCACACTTTTACAATACAGATTTCTTATATAATTATATCAATGGTATCTAAATTTCGAGTAAGAATACGAGGTAACATAAAAAAAAAGAAAATAGCAACACCGAAAACTTTGCAGTAGCCAACGGAAGGTCTTATTGCACTTCGCAATCGTCCGGCCGACGATCGACCAAGTAGTTCGAGTCTGTACTGCGTCAGACTGTATCTGAAGACGATACAGCGGATCGGGTCGGCAAGCTAGAATTCGCATCGTCCGACAAAGGGGTGCCGAACATCAAAGGCGCCGCATAGTACGGAAGAAGAGGATACTGGGTGGTCGGGAAATACGTCGGTGGAAACAGCCCTTGCCTTTGCGCGATCTTCAGTCTGGATGTGAGCTGCTTCTTCCACTTCGTGCGGCGATTCTGGAACCACGTCTTGATTTGCACCTCGGTGAGATTCAAACACTTGGACAACTCCATCCGCTTGCTTACGCTGAGATATTTGTCAATCTACGAGGATCAAAAATGTATGGAAAGAAATTATAATGTCGTCAAATGAGTTGGTCGCATGAACAATAGGAATTAGGGAAACCGCGAGTCATACCTTAAACTCCGCTTCAAGTCTCTCCAGCTGTTTTGCACTGTAAGCTTGACGTGGTTTCCGATCGATACCCGGTTTTCTCGATCTCCTGCCACTCGGTTTAGGTGCTATAAAAATAATCAGTCCTTATCTCATCGTACTAGTAATTACTGAATGACCCCTTTTACACCGAGCATTTGATACGCCGATACGCCTATTAATTAGTAACTTTCTATTAAAAATTATCTTAATTTTAGCAACGTATTTAAAGAATGATATATTAAATTGGTACAATATGCATCAAAATGAATTACTAAATATTCATATCATGTATATGTTTACACGAGCGTATCGCCGAAATTAAAGTAATTTAATAGAAAGTTACTAATTATATTACCTGTATCAAATGCATGATATAAACTAAGCCAATATCGCCTCGCAGAACATAAACTAATTAATATCACGTCAATGTATAATTTTTTACTTAACCATGTAATTATTATGTACAAATTATATTACATTTATATTGTTTGAGTGAAAATTATAATATTTATGTAAAGTTATCGTCAGTTTGTATTCTACGTGATCGCGGAATCAGTCGACTACGTAGTCATTGCTAATTACATGAGAGTTCCTTTGACAGTTTCTGACACTGGCATTTTCGGAGATTTATTGTCGCGATAATCAAAATTTAATATTCTAATCGCGCGTCTTAATTGCACGACTAACTTCGCCAGCTCGTGCTCAATTATCACGTTAGGATTTCGAGGCACCATCCGTCGAGTCCTGTCTAGGATCACCGAATATCTGTGAGATGTATAGGACTGTTTGCAGAATGTGTGACATCCTACAGTCAACATCATCGAGGCGAAGCGGTAAAGAGTTATGCAAACAGTTTATGACGGAGAACGTTTGAATGCGATTATCATCGTAGTGCAAAGAAGTACTACACATTTCCTTTGAAAAGCATATACAAGACATTATAACGTAATTAGTTGCACTAAAATAATAGGATGATTGTTAACCACGTTGACAAATATCCACGAATAATTTGTGCTAGAAAATAAATACTGATTCTAGTGGAAAACTATTCTGGTTATACTATTATATTATATCTAAACTGGGCAGATATACGATTCTTTTCTATTTTACTTTCAAAATTGAGATTATATTATAAGAATATTATTTAATCTACTAAATATCATTCAAAGAAAAGAGAGAGAATCCGCTATTATTTACACTATATTATTTATTTAAGAATAATTTTTTATTGAATTTTGGACTCCTATAATTTCGTTATTTTTTATTTTTGTGACATTCTTATAATTTATATACATACAGACGTATAAGAAAGAATATAATTAATTTAGAAACGCTGCATTGTAAGTATGAGAATCTATAGTGTTAAAATTGTTCACAAATTGTTCACAAATTGTACATAACGCAATAATTTTTTTTCATTGACAACTGTTCGAATTCTGAAAATAGCACAGACGCGTGATGAAGTATGCGAGAGACGGGATACCCAAGATTGCAATGTTTTTTTTACATAGAAATAGGAACTCTTTTTGCTCCTTTCTTATGTTTAATCACCAGTTAGCCGAGCAGCCCTTACACGATAAGTCAACAAATAGATGTCGCGTATTTGTACAAGACCTTTACATTTTTACAGGACCCTTCCAGCGTTTCTACGACTACGGGGAACAGTTAAGTTTTATTACGGAGAACAGTTTTTACCTTACGGAGAACAGTTAGCATATTTATATTTTATATAAAAAAATTTACCTCGGATAATATATACATATATATATAATTTTAAATAAATTGAATCTTAAGCGAAAAAATTCAGATTTTATTCGCACATTTTAAAAACGTCTCAATGTTTTTTAACCTTAAGTTACGCTTTTCGGAATTCTTTTCTAATTCAGAAAAGATCTAACTATCTTTTACATATCTAAAGTATACCGACTCATTTAATTTATAACGTTGTGTTAACTATTATGCAAATTCAAAACTAGCAACAGGTTTTAGAGATTTTAAATGTTTCAATACACGTAATTCTTTACGCTCAATAGGAAATTTGCTAGTGCAATGTATACCGTGCAAATAATGTTTAAGAAATACTTTGTTTCTTTATAACAGCTGTAATATCTGTTTATCTAACATTTTTCTAGCAGCAGAAGACGTGTAACGTGACACATTTATTAAACACGAGAAATTTAGTTGAATTTAATTCCTAAAAAATTGAATATCATTTTATTGCGTGATCTAGATTAATCTATACGGAACAGTAAGTTTGATTATAAATGTAATAAACACAATCGCAGATGAGATGATCGCATTCTAAGAAATGAAAGACTGCTGTGATCGGAAAGAAGAATACGCACGGTGACGAAGAAGAAGAACCGGCGGGACCAAGATTTACGAGTGTACAGAGACATTTAACACCTTCGTGGAAGATAGTTAGACCAACGGTGCTGATAAATGGGCTCCTAACAGTATGGCGGATAGTAGCCGGAAAGGGAGAAACAACGCTATGGCGGATTTTAATTTTATCGCAGAATCACGGAATATTCCGGATTTTAACTAAGAATTGTCGCACGCAAAGAATGGTTTTGCAGAAATATCTAAAAATGTAGCTAGATACAGATCTGAAAATAATTTCGTTAAACTATCAAAATAATTATGTAGAATGCTCAAAATGGTTGCTAGAATGTCAAAACTTTTTGCAGCATTGCTCGTTATGTTTGAATTTCCCATAATTATTTTGATGGTCCAACAAAATTATTTTCAGATCTATATCTAGCTAAATCAGCAAAATTCTTTCCC